GACCGGAGGCGCCGGGGCAAGGAGCCCCAGCTGCGCGCGTAGAACCGTGCGAGGCGCACAAAAAACAGGCGAGAGCTGGTGGGTCAGGCCCCTCCTTCTGGGCAAAAAGGACCGTCGATCGCGGGCAGGCGCCTCGGGCAGCCTGGGGCTGGCCGAGCTCCAAAATCAGGTACTGTCGAGGATTCCTCCAAGAACCAAGGCGCCAGGGCCGGGAGTCCCATCTGCACGCGTAGAGCCGAGCGAGGCGCACAAAGGGCAGGCGAGAGTCGGATGGTAAGACCCCTCCTTTGGGGAAAACGGGCCGTCGTTCGCGGACTGGTGCGCCAGCCGTCCGGGGGCCATAATTGCATACGGTCGAGGATTCCTCCCTGACTGGAGGCACTGGGGCCGGGAGCCCCGTCTGGGCGCGTAGAGCCGAGCAAGGCACACAAAGAGCAGGTGAGAGCCGGAGGGTCAGGCCCCTCCATCTGGGCAAACAGGGCCGTCATTCACGGGCTGGAGCGCCATGAGGCCCGGGGCCGGCCGACGGCCAAATTTGGATATGGTCAAGGATTCGTCCCAGACCAGAGGCGCTGGGGCCGGGGGTCTCGGCTGCGCGCATAGAGCTGAGCAAGGCGCACAAAGGGCAGGCGAGAACCGGAGGGTCAGGCCCCTCCTTCTGAGTAAAAAGGGCAATCGCTCGTGGGCTGGCGCACCGTCCGGGGACCAAAATCAGATACGGTCGAGGATTCCTTTCAGATCGGAGGTGCCGGGGCCGGGAGAGCCGACTGCGCGCGTAGAGCCGAGCGAGGCGCACAAACGGCAAGCAAGAGCAGGAGGGTCAGGCCCCTCCTTCTTGGAGAAAAGGGCCGTCGTTTGCGGACCGGTGGGCTGGTCGGAGACTAACATGGGATACGGTCCAGGATTCCTCCCAGACCGGAGGCGCCAAGGCTGGGAGCCCTGGCTGAGCGCGTAGAGCCGAGCGAGGCGCACAAAGGGCAGGCGAGAACCGGAGGGTCAGGCCCCTCCTTCTGGGCAAAAAGGGCCGTCGTTCCCGGGCCGGTGCTCCAGCCGTACCGGAGCCGTCCAGGGGCAAAAATCGGATATGGTCGAGGGTTCATCCCAGACTGGAGGCGCCGGGGCCGGCAGCCCTGGCTGCGCGCATAGAGCCGAGCGAGGCGCACAAAGGGCAGGTGAGAGCCGGAGGGTCAGGTCCCTCCTTCTGGGCAAAAAGGGCCGTCGGTTGCGGGTCGTCGTGCTGGCTGGGGGCAAAAATCGGATACGGTCGAGGATTCCTCCCAGACCGGAGGCGCCAGTGCTGGGAGCACCGACTGCACGTGTAGAGCTGAGTGAGGCGCACAAAGGGCAGGCGAGAGCAGGAGGGTAAGGCCCTTCCTTCTGGGCGAAAAGGGCCGTCGTTCGCAGGCCGGTGCGCCGGTCGTGGGCCAAAATCGGATACGGTCGAGGATTCCTCCCAGACTAGATGCGTTGGGACTGGAAGTCCCGGCTACGGGCTGGAGAGCAGCAGGCTGGAGCGGCTCGGGGACGGCTGGAGCGGCTCAGGAAGGGCTGGAGCGGCGGGGACTGGAGCGGCGGGGGCTAGAGCGGCGGGAGTTTGAGCGGCGGGCATTGGAGTGGCGCAGGCTGGAGCGGCTCGGTGCGGGCTGGGGCAGTGCGGCATGACCGCGTCCTGCCTGCGGGACAAGGGTGAGCCAGGCGGTACCGGAACGAGGTGCGGGAGGGCCCGGAGGGAGCCCCGGGGATGCGGGGACCCTCCTGCGGTGCTGGGCTGACCCCCCGGGGCTCTTGGGGCGCTTCGCGATGGGGGATGTGGAGTGAGGTAGTGACGAGAATCCGGAAGCGCTTCCACGGACCCGCACCCGGTTCGGTGGCTGTGCCGATGTTTAAACTGGGAAAGAGCCGCTGTCCTGCAGTGAGGACCGGGGGAAATGGCCTTCAACGAGAGCGGGGAGATTCGGATTAGAGATTAGGAAAAAATTGGGTGGTCACGCGTTGGAATAGGTAGCCCAGGGAGGTGGTGGAGTCACCGTTGCTGCAGGTGTTCGAGAGGTGTCCAAATCTGGCGCTGGATGACGGTTTAGGGGTTACGGTGGCAGTGTTTGGTAATAGTTGGGCTGTGATGCCGAAAATCCCGGTCCGAAAAACTGCTCGGAGACTTTTGTATCTTTAAACAGCAAGGTATTTGTTTATTCAACGTTGGGAACAAGCCAGCTCGTGCTTAATTACTCATAATAATTAATTACTTCATTACTCTCAATCTGCACTCTTTTGATTATGGTACTTAATTTATACCACAGCCATAAATTGAGTAATGATAACAATGCAACGGCACTCACCAATACTAAGATTGGATGTATTGGGAAATGGAACACTTGAGAAGCTGTGGGGGAGTATCCCAGAAAAATATCCCACTGATGATGTTCTCCTGCTTGCTCTATCTTTTCTGTATCTGGGTGTTCAAGCATCTTCTGGAAGAGACTGATATCCATCCCTATTTGTAATTTAGGTACATCACGATACAACAAATAGTCATTTTCAGTTAATTGCCCAGTAGTTATTGGAATTTTATAGTTAAAATCACAGCCTATTATTTTAGTAAAGTTACAAACACAAAAATTAGTTCCATTTGTAATCTCCTGAAAAATCTTTTCCCATAGAACCAGAATGCCTAATATAGGGTTGAGGCCATGGCCACTCTAGTAATCCAGCCCAGGTTATAGTCACCATAGTAAGATCCCAGTAGTCAGTGTCTGGGAAGAGCCCCCTAAATGCCTGTGAAGGCATCCACTGACTTTTCAGATGTGCCACTTAAGTTTGTCTCTCGTTCACCCAGATATTCCGTGCGATTACAGCTGCGGTCTTTGGCTGCAGACAGTGACCCTGGGTGGTTTACCTAAAGAGAAGGGAGACTCTTTCAGCTCTCCCCGTCTATATGGGTGACTTTGGTTAGGGTTTCTTTACCATGTCAGAGGGACAGGGTGTAAAGCAGAGTTGAACAGAACAGAGGCCAGAGGAGCAGAGCAAGAAGGTGGGTCATCACCTGACATCAGCACAAAGATGTGGCTTTTGGCTCCACATTTACTTGATGTGTTAAGGATTTTCTTGGTTTGGTTTTTGTTTTCAGATGCAGAGCCCTCGGCCCAGGAGGCTCTAGGCACTGGAGGGGAGGTGATCCGGGTGAGTACTGGTGAGCAAGGTGAGCATTGACTCCAGGACAGAAGTAGATGGTCTTTTACAGGTGTTGTGGTGCATCTGTGCACATGCTTTGTTTCTTGTGTTTTCCAGGGGCTCTGCCACCTTCTAACAGACAGTCCAATGCTTCAGGGACCCTGCCGGTAAGAGGTCACTGTTGATGAGAGATAAGTAGGTAGGAGCTACCACAGGAAAGCCATCCTTCAGGCAGTATCTCAGTATGTACATTTGCCTTTGGTTTTTTACTTTGCAGAGAATGTGTGCAGCCTCAGAGGGCCAGAGCCACCTGCCAATTAGGTTTGATGGTCTTCAGCTGTCCTCGTCAGTAGTCCCCTAGTACTACAAAGCTCATCAATTAAGGCTCGACCTTTTCTGGTTGCAGGTGCCATCCGGCCTGCCTTTGGCAAAGGAGGAGCATTGAAGTTGAGTCTGGGAGGTAGCGAGGAGGTGCTGGGGTCTCCTGTACTTTCAGAAACACCACGTAACTTTTTTTCTCACTCACCCAGGTACGGCACACGGTGATGGCAGCAGCCTCTGACTCAGGTCGGAGCCAGTGGCCCGAGAACCTCTCAGCTTAGGGGACGGTGAGTAGCCAATTGTGGGGTTATCGCCCACGTGCTACCGAACTCTTGCGTCAGTTTCGGTTTTCTTTCTCGTAGCCAACTGAGTCAGCAATCACAGGACCCTCTGAGCCAGCCAGGCATCCTTCCTTCCCATCGAAGATGGATTCACATCCCCGACTATGGGAAAGATAAGTGGAGGACTACCACCTGGAGAGGGGATGAGAGCTGGGTCCAATTTTATGATTAGGAGGGAGGAATTTTCAAATTAGCATAGGGGAAAGGGTCTACCCTAATAGACCCTTGGCACACATAGGAGGAGCAGTTTACTTTTCGTCACTGGAGTAGGTTGTGCAGGGCAGAGCCGTTCAGGTCTGTGCCGTGTCCTTTGTCCGGTCTGTGTTTCGTGTCTTACAATTCACAATCATCGTGTCTTTGCCTTCTGCCCTCAAAGGTCTTATCGGAGATGTCAAGGCCTCATTCCTAGGGTCTTGAACCTCTGCACTGCCCAGCCCAGTGCCCATACCATCCGTTCTTTGGCTCACTAGCTTGGACGTGCATCGGAATCACATCTGAGAAGTGTCAGGTCAGATGTCTTTTACAGCCTCCTTACAGGTTGTATCAGTGGCTGTGCCGTGCAGTCATCTCTTGTAACGACCCCGGACTTGTGAGAATCTAAGAAGGTTTTGAATGCAGCATTGTCTCCCATCCATCTTAGCAATTTTGTAGGCAGTTCTTGTCACAGGACATTCTGTTAGAGTGTCTTTTCAGGCTCCTCAGAGCCTCCTCCATTCAGTCTTGCCGTATCCTCCGTCTTCTCGTGTGGCAGCACATCCATTTTGGCAGTCGTTCCTTTCTCGGAGTTCTCTCTCCTCGTCGCACCACAGCACTTGTCTGGAAATGTGTCCTTGGAGTTTGTGTTCGGCCTGGAACTGCTCTGCCCTGCAGTGTAGACTTGGGGGTAGGTGGAGTAGAAAGGAGACTTTACAGTTAACCTGTGGATAGGTTTAACCACTCATGGCAGCAGTTCTCCAGTCCTCCGGGAGGCAGCCCCTCCCTGCAGCGTGCGTGCAGTCACGAGAGCTTTTCCAGAGATGATGGGAGCGGTACAGCAGGACCTTAAAGTTAGGTCGGTGTTTGTTTGTGCAGGTTGTCTTTGGACCCCAGATGGGTTGTCTAAAGAGAAGTGATAATTGGGCAGCAGTTAAGGTCCCTCCATCTATATGGCTGACTTTGCTAACTCATTTCTTTGCAGTGTCAGAGGGACTGGATGTAAAGCAGAGATAAACAGAAGAGGTGGGAGGAGCACAATCAGAAGGTGGGTTGTCACGTGAGGTCAGAGCCAAGACATGACTTTGGGGCCTTTGGATGGTTTGGTGGTTTAGTTTTGTTTTTATGGGTTTTTTTTAAGATGCGGAGCCCCCGTCCCAGCAGACGATAGGCACCAGAGGGAAGGTGAGCCCAGTGAGCAAGGTGAGCAGTGACTGCAGAACAGAACTAGATGCTTTTTTGCAGGCGGTGTACTTCTGGTGAATCTGCATACATACTTGGTTTTTTGTTTTAGAGGCAGACTTCTAACGTGCAGTCCAACGTGACGGGGACCCTGCCTGTAAGAGGTCACAGTCAAGGGGTGTCAGACCGAAACTGCCATGGGAGCAGCACACTCTTGGACAGTATCTCAGTACTGACATTTGCCTCTGGGTTTTTTTTTGCAGGAGACATATGCAGCCTCACAGGGCCAAAGCCAACTCACAATGAGGTGACGGACACGGTTCGGTCCTCTTGAGCTGTCCTTATAGGTAATCTCCGAGTATTAAAAGGATCAGCAACTGTAGGGGCGTGTCTGGGGTACAGGGGAATGTACCAGGGCAGAGAGGCCCAAAGAGCATGCGCCGAGGTTCACAACACCCATTGGATAAAGGGATTACATGGTTATGGGATATAAAAGGGAGCGGGGAATTCGAATAAAGGCTCTCTGATTCCACCAGCTCTGGAGAGAGTGTAGTTATTCTTTATCATATAAAGGCAGCGGTACACGTGCCGCTACAAGCAATGAAGCATTGAGCTTTTTTGGTTGCAGGTGCCATCCGGCTAACCTTTGGGAGCAGATGAGCATTTGAGGTGAGTTGGGGAGGCAGCAGGAGGAGCAGGGATCCATTGCAGCTTTAGAAATGCCCTCTAATTTTGTCTCTTGCTCGCTCAGGTATCCCGGAAGATGACAGCACATTGTCCAACTCCGGTCAGAGCCGGTGACCCGAGGACCTGCCTCAGTGACAGTGAGTAGAGGGATCTTTGGGGCTGGGGCCACGTGCCACACTACTCAGATATTGTGTATGGTTTTCTTTCTCGTAGTTGACTCCGAGTACTCTCAGGATGGCAGGAACCTCTGAGCCAGCCCAGGTGCCCCTCCTTTGCATCAGAGACGGATTTGCATCCCCGGCTCTCAGAAAGATAAGTGCAGGGTAAAGACCCAGAGATGGGGTGGGTAGTTGGTGCAAGTATGTGCATCGCCCAGAGGGATTTTTGAAATTAGTTTGGTGCAATGGGTATCCTATTACAGGTTATTTGGACGCATCAAAGGAAGGGCTTACTTTGTATCATTGGATTCCCGTGTGCAGGGCAGAGCAGTTCCAGTCTGTGTCACGTCCTTTGTCTTGTCTGTGTTTTGTGTCCTTAGGGTTTTTGCATCTTGCCCTCGAGGGGCTTATGGGAAGCATCAGGCATCATCCTTAGGTTCTTGAAGGTCTTCTCTGTGTAGCCGAGCTCCGAAGTTGTCAGTCACTTCCTTTGGAAGTTCAGGCCTTCTTTGGAATCCCATCTCTGACTTTTATGGTCAGACCTCTTTTAAGGCCTCATTCCAGGCCGTATCATCAGCGGTGCTCTGCAGCCATCCATCTTAAAGCAGGAGGACTCGTTTTCCGCATCGTTCCGTTCTTAGCTTCCGAACGCAGTGACGCCGCGCATCCATCTTCAGGGTTTTGACGGACCCTTCTTCTGACCGGTCATCTTGTTAGCATCTTTATTTGTCAGGATCCTTTGAGCCTAGTCACGTTATGACGGTAGTCCCGTAGGTCATGGTGTTCCACAGCATCTCCATTCTTGCAATCAAATCTTGTCAAAGCAAGGTTCGTCTCTTAATTGTGTCACACGGTCTGTGTCGTCACGGGTACAGGATGTCTGACTCGGGGTCAGCCTGGAGCTGCTCTGCCCTGCCATGTGGATCAGTGGGTAGATGGAATATTGCTCCGAGTCTCACGTCAACATGTCAGTTACCTTAGACAGTGGAGCCGATGGCTGTACAGTCCTGCTGGATGGAGCGGGTGTACGTAACTCGTGTGCAGTCATTAGAGCTGAGTGTTGTGGAGCTGATGGTACTTGGATAGCAGGGCCTTGAAGCTGGGTTCTCATTTTTCTACTTGTATGCTGCGGTCAGAGTTCTCATTTGCTCAGCGTAAATGAGATCTTTTAAATGGTTAAGGTCTCAGTGACCATGTGGGTGACCTGATTAACATTTTTTTTCTTTTTTTCCCCCAGATAAGTGGACACGATGTACCCCAGACCGAGAAAAGTTGAACCAGCCTAGGAAGAAGGTTGTATTAGGTGTTGGATGAAAGATGCAAATTTTATGCATAGAAGTCCTTTATCTTGTGCATTTTTGTATTTTATTTTCCAGATAGGGTGCACGTACTGCCGAAAGTGGTGCACCAACAGCAGATGAGAGAGGGGGGCTCAGGCCTTTCTTTCCGGCCGGGAAGGGCAGTTGTTCACAGGCCGGCGCGCCGCGCCGCTGGGGGACGGCTGAGGGCCAAAATTGGATACGGACGAAGATTCCTCCCAGACCAAAGGTGCCCGCCCCGCAAACCCTCCATCTCTCCTGTGCAGCTGGTGTGCCACTCTTGGCACTACGTGCACAGCAAGCACTTTCTGCCCAGGCACATTTGGTCTGGGAGGAATCTTCGTCCGTATTCAGTTTTGGCCCTCAGATGGCCGAGTGCGGCACAGCGCGATTCCCATTAAACGACTGCCCTTCCAGCCAGGAAAGAAAGCCCTGACCCTCTATCTCTCCTGTACAGTTCCTGCGCCACTCTCCGCACTACATGCAAAGCAAGAGCTTTGTGCGTGGGTACCTTTGGTCTTGGAGGAATCTCCGTCTGTATTCAGTTTTATCCCTCAGACGGTCCCTTGCGAAGCGGCGTACTGGACAGCGAAAGACTGACCTTCCAGCCAGGAAAGAAAGCCCTGAGCCTCCATGTCTCCTGTGCAGTTGTTGCGCCACTCTCGGCACTACATGCACAGCAAGCGCTTTCTGCCCAGGCACCTTTGGTCTTGGAGGAATCTATACCCATATTCAATTTTAGCCCATCGTGGCACGCTGGCCGGTCAATGACAACCCTTCCAGCCAGGAAAGAAAGCCATCAAACTCCGTCTCTTGTGTGCAGTTGTTGTGCCACTCTCGGCACAACAGGCACAGCAAGCGCTTCCTGCCCAGGCACCTTTGGTCTTGGAGGAATCTGACCGGGCAGAAAGCACTTGCTGTGTACATAATGCCGAGAGTGGCGCACCAATGGCAGGTGAGTGACGGAGGGTCAGGCCTTTCTTTCCTGGCTGGAAGGGCAGTTGTTTGAGGGCAGGAGCCCTGTTCCTAAATCAGCCGTCTGAGGGTCAAAATGGAATACAGACGAAGATTCCTCCCAGACCAAAGGTGCCCACCCAGAAAGCTCTTCCTGTGCATGTAGTGCAGACAGTGGCACACCAACGGCAGGTGAGAGACGGAGGGTCAGGCCTTTTTTTCCTGGCTGGAACAGCAGTCGTTCGCGTGAAGGAGCACCGAGCCGAAATCAGCCATCTGAGGGCCAAAATTTAATACGGATGAAGATTCCTCCCAGACCAAAGGTGCCCGCCCAGAAAGCTCTTGCTGTGCACATAGTGCCAAGAGTGCCACACCAATGGCAGGTGAGAGATGGAGGGTCTCGCCCCACATGTTTTCCTGCCTAGAAACCCTAAGTAGCACACATGTGTTTGCACTGGAAGGCACTACTAAAAATGGTACTAACTGCTACACAGTTTAGTGTCTGGCTCACGAACTTTAGAGAAAGCTGTAAGGCTTATATTAATGACCAAACTAACAAACGGGAATGACCTATGCTCAATTAGCAGGGGAGGGGGCACGTTCAAAGCCCAGGTCCCAAATAGACTACCCCCGAGAAATATACGAAGTAATCGCAAAGCTTGTATTGCGAACAGTGCGAAAACTCCCATGCACAGACAAAGGCTCTAACCTATCCTTTTCCAAAGTTTTGCAAGGGTCCACTGAACCTCACCCCCAGTTTCTAGATTGACTGCAAGCTTCCTTAGAGAGGCAAATTGGTAACGACAAGGCGAGAGAGATGCTCTTCAGGCAACTCGCCTACGACAATGCCAACTCTGACTCTCGACGGGCTCTGCAGTCGATCCCCAAGCGCGACCAGTGCACGTTAGCTGAAATGGTCCGAGCTTGCCAGGATGTTGGGTCAGTCAATCACCACTCAGACTCACTAGCCATGGCATTAGCAGCCAAACTGCGGGTACCCGAAGGGGAAAAGGGAAAAGGCAGCTGCTTCCAATGCGGAGCAACTGACCGTATCAAAAGACACTGCTCTAAAAAACCCCCTCCAGGACACTGCCCCAGATGTGGAAAGGGAAAACACTGGGCTAGCGAATGCAAGTTCCAGGGTAGTGAAAAAGAGGGGACTACACCGCAGGGAAACGGGGTACGAAGCCACGCGCCCTCACCAACCAGACAAATACAGATTCAAACAACGCGTCAGTGATTTGCTTGCCGCCACCTCAGGCAGCACTGGGCTGGACCTGGCCTCCAGAGAACCAATAGTTTTAACATCTGCTGCAGTGGTTTTGATATCCACTGGAGTCTGGGGACCTCTGGAGGCGGGAATGCATGCCTTACTAATTGGGCACTCATCAACTACCACGATGGGTATGTTCATCTTGCCCAGCGTAATTGATTCAGATTCCCATAATGAAATCCAAATCATGGCCTGGACACCTGTACCACCTTGTTATATTCCAAAGGGGCAGCACTTAGCTCAATTAATTCCTTTCTATAGCATTTCTCCCACACAAAAGGGTAATAAGGGTACTGAGGCATTTGTAAGCACAAATCCTCTGGCCCACGTCGATCTCCGCCTCCCAAACCATGATGACATGTCACATTGATGGGCGTAAATTTAAAGGTTTAGTGGATACAGGCGCAGAGGTGTCTATAATTAAAGACACCGAGTGGCCATCAGACTGGCCCACAGTGTTCCCAGCCTCGACCGTCTTGGCGGTGGGGGGTATGCAAAGACCTAGACAAAGCAAGCATCTACGTACGGTATTGGGGCCTGAGGGACAGACTGCCAGGATTGCACCCTTCATAGCTCCCATTCCGTGTACCTTGTGGGGGAGGAATGTCCTCGGTCAGTTTGGTACCACTGTACAGATAGCAACAACAAATAATCAGGTTTTTCAGTAAGGGTCATTGGTCAGCCGTTCCATGGACTCATCAAACTAGAATGGAAGACAGACAACCCGATATGGGTGGACCAATGGCCCCTAAAGAGGGAACAGCTAGGTCACCTGCGAGACCTCGTACAGGAACAGCTGAACGCTGGGCATATAGTACCAACTTCTAGCCCATGGAACACTTCAGTGTTTTGCATACTCAAGAAGAGCGGCAAATGGTGTTTACTACAAGACTTCAGAGCGATTAATACAGTTATTGAGCCAATGGGAACACTGCAACCAGGACTTCCTTCCCCTGCCATGCTTCCTGCAGGGTGGCCACTAGTGGTAATAGACTTGAAAGACTGGTTTTTTGCCATCTTTTTACATCCAGAAGATGCTCCTCGCTTCAACTTCTCAGTTCCAGCCTACAACAGTGGTAGCCAACATCATACACCCTGTTCAGAAACTCCACCCTTCAGCTATCATCTACCATTATATAAATGATATCCTAATAGCCGCAAAACACGAGAGTGAACTACAATCTACCTTGACTGCCTTAACTGACGCCATTCCGAAAGCAGGTCTACAGATTGCTTCAGAAAAAATTCAACGCACCCAGCCATGGACCTACCTAGGATGGAGGATCACTCAACAGGAGATCATGCCACAACCACTGACTTTCAAGCTAATGGACACTATAACCCTAAATAATTTGCAACGACTTTTGGGAGCCATTAACTGGCTAAGGCCTGTTTTAGGGATCACAACAGAGGAATTACATCCCTCTTTGAGTTATTTAAAGGTGACCCAACTCTCACATCTATTCGATCCTTAACCCCAGAAGCAAAACAAAC